CAGCCCCTTTCTCTCCTCCTCTACTCGTGTTGTTTTGTTGTAGAAGGAGATGATGTGTCAAGCAGAGCCTGCCTTTTGTAAAAAAAACCCCATGCTGACTGGGCCTGATCCCCTGGTTGTCCTGTACATGCCACGTGATGGCACTCAGGATGATCTGCTCCATAACCTTCCCTGGCACTGAGGTCAGACTGACAGGCCTGTAGTTCCCCGGATCCTCCTTCTCGCCCTTCTTGTAGATGGGTATCACATTTGCAACTTAGCTTGAAGTATAAACAGTCTTAAATAACAACTTTATGGGAGAGGTGTCTGTATTTCTCTTTTCCTGTATAAGATATTTCATCTTAGAAGGCCTTGGATACTCTACCTCCAAGATATTCTGTAGCTAAATATGAGCCTCTTCAAGGAGGAAAAAATATATCTTGATGCAAATATTTTATTGGTGTAATATAGTACTGTCAGAAATGAAGAAAGGGAAAAAAGTCTGATGTTAAAACAATCCCAGAACTTCAGTGATTGTATTGGTCTTTTTTATGGTCATTTACACAAAATTAGTTTTGTAATGGAGAGCTGACATGTGCTGTTAAACGCCACAAGGAACCCAGCTGACCCTTTAAATATAGCTGGTGTTAAAAATCATGTGGCATGCTATCCTTTCAAGAAGGGGAACCAAAAGAGTTCTTAATAAACTAAATGTAAATCTTCTGGGTACAATGTGTATGGCCATTTGGTTATGAACCTATCCTTTGAGAAGTGAGTTCTAATATGTAGACTTGTTTTTAAAGAAACAGTTGTTATTTCATGCAACTAAACTGAACAACTTCTCTGATAGCACTGAACCTCCTGAAAATCTGATTTTTATTTCACCACCCCCCCTAAAAAAAAAAAAATGTTGTTGCTGGTGGATTTTAAGTCTTACAGCAAACACAAGTGGAGACAAGTATACATTTTGTTTAAAAATTTATAAAAGATACTTCTGCAAAGTATTTTATAGAATAGGTATTTATTGTATTGAGTGCAGTCCTACAAAATGCTATTAATGGTTCTTAAAGTTTGTTAATTTAATGGATGCAGTGTTGTGGATGCATTCTGACCTTGCAGTGATTGAGTAGCTAGTGCTAAAAATATTGGACAAGGACATAGATAAAAGAGAAAACGTATTCTTTGACCACTCTTGGATCATTACTGTGGCTAAGCCTTTCTGTTCTGATATTACCATATATATATCTGTATCTCTCTCGTATATATACAATGGATAAAAGGAAGAGCTTACCTTTGTCTCTTGTAAGGTTGGTGTAACCATTCCGTCTTAGATTCTTTTCTTAACACTTTAGATGTTACTGCAAAGTGCAGATTAACTGGAATTTACATGATGACTAGTAAGCATTGGAATGTCTTACTTCATCCCCCTCTCTATTTTGTTCTGCTTTAAAAGAATGCTTTTCAAAAAAACAAAAACCAAAAATCTTTTTATGATTCTTACTTGATGTTATGCTGTCATTGCATTTATCTTTTCCGCTCAGTGGTCCATCTTCACATGTTGCTCTGACTTCTTTGTCTTCTTGAACCTCTGTTGCATCCGGGACCTCATGTCCCAGTGGATCCCCCCGCCCATTTCTAACTGCGGTAACTCCGTTTATCTGCCAGCATTCCTTGTGCTCTATTGTCTGTGGGATTGGGTTGGGTGTCCTGAAACCTTAAAATTTGTGTCCAGAAGTAAAATTTAAATACTTCTTTTTCTTTTAATAATTGAACTGTGAGTCCCCTTTCCTTAGGGTAGGGATCATTAAGAAAATCTTCCATTCTTCTATGCTTTTTGGCATAGGAGGTACATCACTGAATTTTGTTCTGTTTTTATTTTAATACCTTGGGCGAAACTGATAACATAAAGGCCTCTATGCTGTTAGCATACACTGAACTACTGAACCCAGAAGAATTAAAACATCTCAGATGCTTTTGTGGTATTGTTCAGGATAGGATTTTGCATTATTTGTAATGGAGTTTAACTGCAGGCTGTTAGAAGGTGCGGTCTTGCTGGATCTGGTATTGTTTTCTTTGGGGTTTTTTTTGCAGCCAGAAGGTGAACTGGATCTGCTTGTTGTTGCAAAATTAGTATTGTCTTTGTTATGTTCAATGAGATTAATGCGCTGATCTAACTCACCCAGTGCAACTGGCAGTGCAGTCACTCAGTCAAGCTCAAGGGAGAGGCTGGGAGCACCCAAGCAGGTGCCCCTTACTTAGCAGCCTGCAGCTGGACTGGATTAAGGTGTTACTGAACAGAGACATGCTGCTGTTTTGTGGCTATGTTATAGTTCCCCAGAAATCGTGTGGGTGTGGTAATTGCAAAAATATTATATTGTAGATAATGTTCCAATAGAAATATGAGCTATAATAATTTTTTTTTAAAGTATTGTAAAGCTGTTGTGAGGAGGACTGTAATTACTACTCTTTGCCTTCCTTTCCCCTCGATATTATATATTGAGTCAGGAGAATGATACAGTGAAATTTCTTGCCTATACGTATCCTGGGTTTATGCTACTTAAAGCTTTAAATAATCAAATGTTAACAAGTCTCCTATGACACTTTCATCCACCCTTTATAGAAAGTTATTTGTAACCTATAGTTTTTGATAACACTTCAGAGGAAATGATATGAAATATTTGGGGCCTGCTGTTTTGTTAGGAGCAGGCCATTTAAGCATGAAGGCTGGGGGACTACTGCGATAATGTGCTGGGGTTGGACAGCTGATTAGATATGAACACTACTTACTGACAGCAACAATCCCCACTGCAGATGGTGTTTTCTGAAAAGAAAACTGCTGCTTTCAAGGATTTTGTAACAGTGTTTTCTGAATGGTTAGCTGACGAGTGATCTTTAAAAGGTATTTTATAGCCTGTAGCATCTGAGAAGGGAAGAGTTCAATACTTTATGTGCTGTAGATCAAGAATGATAACAACAATGTTTAATAATTTGAGAAGGACTTGATTTGGTATTTTTCTGTTTCTGCCCCCAATCTGACTTGGTGGTCTGGCATTTTTGTTTCTGCAGGGGAAAGCTATGTATGTGGTTCCATAGAACCCTTCAAGAAACTGGAGTACACGAAGAATGTAAACCCAAACTGGTCAGTGAATGTTAAGACAACTTCTACTTCTCGTTCAGTGCCGTCTCTTGCCACTGCTAAAGGAGGTACTCCAGATGCAAAAGAGAATAAGGATTTCATTAGGCCTAAACTAGTCACTATCATCAGGAGCGGAGTGAAACCACGGAAAGCAGTCCGGATTCTGCTCAACAAGAAGACAGCACATTCATTTGAACAGGTTCTTACCGATATAACCGATGCCATCAAGCTGGATTCAGGGGTGGTTAAACGCTTATACACACTAGATGGAAAACAGGTAAGAATTTTCATGATGATCATTCTCAGCATGAAGAAAATACAATTTTTCAAAAGGAAAAGAATAGTACATTAGTAAAAAATTACTTTTTTTTCCTAGAACATAGAACTAGGCCTTCCTCTGTTTTTAGTGCACTTAAGATCTGTGAGCAGTTCAGGAACACATCATGAAGCATCACTTGGCCTCAGTGATGGTCTTGCCATTTGCGATAAATAATAGCTCTAAATCTGTCAGTTGGAAGTGTGATGTGGTTTTGGCTCTGCGTGCCAGAAACGTAGGATGAAGGATGTCATTTTAAAGAAGCTCATTCTGTTAACTTGTTTCAGCTTTTTCTTGCAGCAGTTTTATGAGTCATTGTACTTGCCTTTCCATAAACTGTAAGAACAAACAGTGAGGACACGTTCCACCATGATAAATGCAGGCCTACTGCTGTCCAGAGTGACCAAATGATGAGTCTTACTGCAGCTAGAATGGACTGTGAAGAAGGTGCAAGCTTAGAAAATAAGTGAGGTTTTTCCCTCTTGCAGGAAAACAGGTAGGGTTATGGATGGTGACCACATTTATTGAGGAGTCTCTTGTAGGTTACATGCTATTTCTTACATTAAATACCTTCAGCTGTGTCTCTTTTTTGCTGACTTATTAAATTACCATAGTGAGGTTTTGAGAGGCTTTTTATGGAACTTGGGGATGGAGGGGCAAGTAAAAATATTACAGAGTAATCCTGCTTCTTTTTTGTCTTTCACTTTATCTGTAATTTATCTACGGACATGTATTAATTATAGCAAAACTGGAGAAGCTGTTAACCTGGTGAAGGGCAAGACTAATTTCAGCATGACCTGAATTGATTTAGAGCAATGGTGACTCTAGAGAAATAAGGCAGATACTTGCATTTACAAATGTAAATTATTAAACTGAAGAAATGATAGAGGTATAAAATGTGGGTAGAAATATGAGCAGCCTCCCTAAGAAGCTAGAAGCTGCTAAAGACCAAGATATTTCTGCTGTAATATAGCTGTGTTTTACAGATTCTAGGCTCAAAAGATTCACAGATATACAGCTAACAGTGTAGCTATCAGGAGATGCTGCAAAATATGCTTGGTACAGGTAAATACTCAGCTAGATCCAGTGGTGATCCTAACATGTCTGCAGTTACTGGGGTTGATATGCAAGCATAGCTCTGGAAACAGGTACAGCAATATCCTCTGATCTCAGAGAGGGCTGGTTGATGGACAAGCTGCTTATTCAGAGCACTGGTTCAAATCAGGGCCGAGTCTGGCTTGACCAGAAGTCCTTCGCATCTGTGCTTTTGTATCAGTAATCTCTGACACCAGTTACAGACAGTAGTTCGGTTCTTGAGGACTGCATACATGCCTGTAATGATCCCATTACTATGACTTCATTGGGAACTTTGACCTGGAGCAAAAATGTGGATGTGAAGTTCTTTTTGCCTGCAGCAAAGGTAAAGTATGTGTCTGGGGAAACTCTCAATTCCTATCCTTCTTACCTTGCCTCATGCTTCAGGGAGCACTAAGGCTAGGAAATTTGAGGAAAGAGTTGGGATTTTAAAGGTGCAGAGATCAGTGGTGGTCTCTGCTGTGACCTTGACAGAAGATCATGAGTAACTATTCCAGTTCCTGCAAACCCTCTCAATAAAAAGGGATGCAGATCTGTTTTGTATTGTATATGTAAATAAACTTGTGGTTTAGCTATCAAGAAGTGCAGCCTGGAAGGATATCGATGTGGCCTGTTGTCTCCTGGATACTGTGCTCACTTTTATTTTTTATTTTTAATATTCCAAACTCCCCTTTAATGGTTGTGCTTAAAATGAAAAAATACCTTTACACCTGTTTTAGAGCTCTAATTGCTGGAAGTAAATAGTACTATCCTGCTACTGGGTGGAAAGGGAAGACCAGGTTTTACTGGCCCTGATGTTGTCAAAGGTCAGTTGAATCCTGTGTCAAGTCATGGGATTTGAGATGAGCTTAAATCAGTAGCATACTGGGACATTTGTTACCTACCTCATAGCCTGAAACCCTTGTGTCTAAAGGCTTTCCCAGCAGACTGGCATCTCCACATGCATTCACTCCTTCCCGTTCTGGCTATTCAGTTCAAATTGCATAGCTAATCCTATTGGTATAGGGTTAGCTATAGAAATTGCATAGCTAACCCTGCCTAACCCTATTGGTAAGGGCAGAGTTTGGGGCAAGGTGTGTGTGTCCTGCTAGCGTAACGGAGACTTTGCTCACTGCACATACAAAGCAGCTTTGCTGGCAGAAAGGGAAATGAATGATCCCGTGCTCAGCAGGAGCCGCCTGTTGCTCACCGCTGTGTGGGGAAGTCATTGATTTCCTGTACTGCTCGGCAATTGCTGCTCCATTTTTCTCTGCCAAAAGCCTGATCTCCCAGATGGTGTTGGGGGCATGATGATGGATTTCTTTATTGCTAAACTCAAGCTGTGAATGATTACTGGGAGGAAATCCATGGTAAATCCAAACTTTTTCCAGTAATGTTTATAGTTGGAAACTTCTACCGTGACTCCTGTTGGAGCTTGGAAAGTTCTGGAAAAGCCTGTGATCGGTGGTTAAATCTAACAAATCTGTGATTAAATCTTTCATCGCTAACTTAAAAAGCAATAAAATCTTAAAGCTCTGAGCCAAGAAAAGTAATTTACTGTAAGGATAAGAGAATAAAGCTCTCCTAGGATTATTCTTTAGGAATGTAACTTGGGCAAAGGCCATTCTGTATAGTCATCTCTCATGAGTTATTTTATGAGGCCAACACTGGAATTGCCCATGCATGGCAAAAATTGACACGAGTCCCATATATTGTTAGTGCAGATGGGCAATGAGGTATGTATACCATTGTTGGGTACTATCATCAGATGCCTCAGGCGAATCAAAAGAGTAGTAGGAGTCAGAGTCTTAACTGGGCATCAGAGTCAGGTTGTTGTCCCACACTGATACTACACATTGAGGAACTGAGCTTAAATGCTCTCCCTCCAACAGCCTGGTTAGTTGTGATGTTTTGATTTGAATCTCTAAAAGACATTAAGAAATACTATGCTCAGTTAGAAGGAATTTAAATGGTGGCCTATAAAATTTGATGACAACGTAAAGAGCGTGTCTTGATGAGACAGGTAGTGCTTGAACAGTCAGTACCTGAGCAAAGTTATTTCCAGTATTGAGTAGGTGTTTACTTTGGATTTCATACATTTCATTTACTTTTGTTAAAATGTATTTCTCCTTGTTACAAAGAGGTTGACTAGTGGTTTAGTTGCATTTCCTTATAACTCATGTCAGCATCTGTATTTTGACTTCAACGTTTCTGAAACTTTAGAATGTGATTTAATTTGTGCAAAAAGGGGCACAACATACAACTGTAATCTGATCGTATAGCACATTGGTGGCTTGCATTTAGCATACTCTCACAGTTCAATTATTAATGATTCCTCAAAGCAGGGTATGTTTCCTACTGTGTCTAGAACAGTATATGTGTATTTTTATGGATATACTTATTTTTCCTACTGGTACAAGGAACTGATGCTGTTTGTACTCTGGAGTAAGAGACAGAATCACTTCCCTGTAAGATATTGATGGATTTGAAGAAGATGGTGGGACTCCCAGAAGTGTTTAACAGTCTTACGAGCTCAGGCCAAAATTAAAACCTATCCAGGGGGAGGTCTTGAAATGTTCTCCTTGCCAACCTTGCTGCGTAAGGAAAATAAAAATAGAATGAATAGATTTAATGGCTGCCTGTAGGAATTCAGATCATGAAGGCATGCACTTACTGTGTTACTCTTTTAAGAGTAGAAGGTGGTTTAAGTGCATGAAAAGACATTGTTAGTATTGACCCTTAATATTCTCAGGTACTTGTGCAGAGAAGAAACACTTTCTCATAGTTAAAATATGTCCTGCTTTACTGTAGCTGCACCGTTTCAGTTTGATTTTTAACCTTCCCTTAACAGAAGGTGTCATTTTTAGTCTCATGTGCATTAAAATATGGTTCTGTAAAAGGCAGTGTGTGGACACACAATGCAAACATCAAGGGTACAAGCTGCCCGTGGAGATAGAGCCTGGTTGCTGCGTTGCAAGCTTAGTTCTCTGGTTTCTGTGTACTAATGCACTTCTAGAACAACACCAAAGACTAAAATGGGAGAATACTAATGAAGGTCATATATAACAGTAAAGTTGTGAAACAGTGCAAATTGTAGAAGTGTTACAGTGTGTGTATTTGTACAAAGTATTTACAATTTGTATGTTTAGACAAAGACTAAAGTTTGGACAAAAGTGCCTTATCACCTTGTAAGTCCTCCGTTTGCTTTTGGAAGAACAAACATCTGCTTTATAATGAGACCTACTTATTTGAACAGGTGGTTAGGTGGTTTGTTTAGCTTAACTAGATGCAATCATGCAAATTATTTTTCAGTTTATGCATTATGCTGTGGATTTGACTCCAGAGAGCTAAATGGTCAGTGGCAGAGATACCAGAATAAAAGCCACTATCTGGGTGTTTTTGGTTGGTGTTTTTTTTTTTTTTTTCAAATATGTTATTTCAAATCAAATTACCTTTACAAATATGAAATACAGCTACCATTATTTAAAGACATACCTTACTGAAGTGTGTGTGAGAGGTGTAGGGTGGAACGGGACCGAGTCCCTCAATAACCTTGCTTTAAGCCATTAAAATTGTGGCTGCAAGGAAAGGGAACATCACAGTGCTGGAAAGCTTCAAGCTTCTTCATTGAGTGTAATATGTTTTTGTTTTTTATTGGAACCCCACTCAAAGAGGGTATCTTATGATATAGAAAAACTTCCCTTCCTGTTTATGAAGACACCTAGTATCTTAGTTTATAAGAAAGAATTAATACTACTGTTTCAAGAAAGTACTCAAGAAAAAGAAAGCAATTGTTTGCACCTACACCTAGACTGCGCATGTGCTTTTTTATTGTTTTGTTCTTAAGTGGAAAACATTTGGTAATAATATCTGTATTCTACAGTAAA